CGTTCATCTTTTCCACTACGGTCGAAGATGACGCCCAGGTATTTATATTCGTCACATGGTATTATTTTTTGATTATCATCTATATCGAGTTGTTCTGCTTCAACTCCAATTGAGAGGTATTTTGTTTTTTCTAAATTAATATTTAATCCCTATTTCTGGTATTCTTCAATTAGTTTTCTAAGCATGTATTCCATGTCGTCTTTGTCATTTGAGATCACCACCTAATCATCTGCAAACTGTAAAGTATATATGTAATCCTGATCCTTCAATTGTATACCCATTCCTTTGACTTTCCTTTTCCATTGTTTTAGAACTGCAGAGATATAAATCTTAAATAGAGGTGGAGAGATACAACATCCTTGTCTGAGACCCTTAGTAACTGCAAATCTTTCAGCTAAAAGGTTTCCGAATTTCATTTGGGAGTTTGAACCATAATATAGATCTTTGAGAGCACTAACCAATGTTTGATGTATGTTTGATGTGCCCAGGACTTCCCATAGTTTATTTAGCGGGACTGTGTCATATGCCTTCTCAATATCTACAAAAGTCATATGTAACTCTCTATTTGTCACAATTTTCTTTTCTATAATTTGTTTAAGACAGAAGATGTTATCTGTACATAAACGACCTGCTCTAAATCCTCCTTGTTCTTCGTCTTCAGACGATTGATAATCTTCCTCTATCAGATCCCGTAGTATTCGACGTATAGTCGACTCATTGAACTTGTGACCAATATCCCTCTATAGTTTTTACAATTTCCCCTGTCACCTTTTTTATATTAAGGTCATATATGCTGTTTTCCATTCATCTGGTGTTGGATGCCCATTAATATATTCGTTAAATATCACCGTGATCATTCCGTGTAATTTCTCTGAGCCATTCTTTATTAATTCCGTAGTTACTCCCTCTGGTCCACTTGCTTTCCCATTCTTCATCCCTGCTATAGCTTTTTAAACTATGTTGATATATTTGGTAATATGCTCTCCCAGAATTTCGATTCTTGATGAATTCATATCTTCTTTAAATTCGTCTCTTTTCTTATTTAATAGATGTTTGTAATAATGTGTCCAATCCTCGGGATTTATGGGATTTAGAATCACTTTCTCGTTAGTTGGCTTCTTAACAGAGTTTATAAACTTCCACGCCTCAGTGCATTGTCGTCCTATATTATAAGATTCTATTTCTCTGCACCTTCTCTTACATGTTCATTTTTGGAGGTCATAATTATCTTTTTAGTTTTCTTCTTCATTTCATTGTATCGGTCTTTGTCTGTGTCATCTTTTGTATTCAATCACTTATGGTATAATCTTTTCTTTTCTGTTACCGCATTTTCGACGTCTTCATTCCACCAAAGATTGTTATTAATTTTATTTTGTTTGATTCCTAAGACCTCCTGTGCTGTTTGATGAATACTTGATATTATGTTCTTATATATGCATTTGGTATCTGTTAGTGTTTCGTCAAGTTTGGAGTCCATTCGAGTCTTATATAGTGTACGGGTGCTCTCATGAATTAAACTGGACAGATTGTATTGAGGAAGATCATATAGTATATTCAGTTATATAGTAATATGTAAATACATCATTTCTATTTGAAAATATGTTCTGCCCGTAACACTTTATGGCTTAGTTATTACTACAAAACTACTACTTTATTTATAGTACAAAAATTCCCTTATACATTGCAATAATTCTTTTAAAGGTATATTTAGGACAGTTAATTAGGAAATGTCTATACTGTCTACTAAATCACAAATTGAACACTTTGGAGCTTTGCTTCTTTTGAGAATAGGTGTGCATGTGCATACCTATTCTGGCCCAGTCTGACACGCGTTTGTATTACTTAGGATTTTCTGCTTGTTTCTGTTGGTTGCCACTTTTAATTTATTTTAATTTTAACACCGAACTTTGCTATTTCCTGCTCCATAAACTTACTGTTTTATTTTTGAAAAAGTCTTTTAAATCACTGGTCACACTGCGATATTCGATCTTTGATTCGTCTTTAGCAACATCATCGTGAAAACTTGCATATGCTAATTCATTGCCTTGGAGGTCAATGTGGGAAGGTATCTACCAGAAAGTTACTATTTTAAAATTGGTCTTGAACTTTATAAAGTTTAAATTTTCTAATTTTGTCCAAAACTCTTTTGGCAATTTAATATTTAATTTAGAAGAGTATATTTCAATTCTTTTATAGCGAGGTTTTGGTGTGTGGAACCAATTATATTAAATTAGTTCATATACTAATTATTGAAGGTATTGTCATACAAAGGTTTACTAAGCTCTGAGGTAAAAGAAGTTTACTGACATAGTATTATATACATTCGTCGGTAAAGTAGGGGTGACTCTTCGGCTTCATTCAGTAATCTTTCGATTAGAGTTGTCCGAAATGCTCCAAAGATAATTCTAATGCCAAAATTATGTAGTCTCAAACTTAATATCTCTTGTTGTTGAGGTTAAGACATATGCAATTGACCCGTAATAAATTTTAGACTTTATTTATTTATTTATCGTATGGCACACGATAAGAACAGAATTAAAAATCAATATAAAACGTTACGTGGAGTATTAAAAATGAACATCTAACGCATTATTGATATAATGTAAAACATTTTCGGTCGCATTTAGGAACTCATCTAAAACTTTAGGAAATGGCCTTCGGGGGCATTCTTCAACAATGTGACGGAGGGTCTCATTGTTGAAGAATGCCCTACAGTCACACTCAGGAGTTAGGGCTTCTCCCCATCTATATAAGCTGTCAGCACATTTAGTGCTCCTTGTTCTTATTTTGTTTAACGTTGCCCATGTATTGCGGGTCAGTTCAAAACCTGGTGGTTTCTGATCTATACACACCATTTGGTGTGCTTTCTGTGGTGAGTCGCTTTGCCATTGTCTTCTCCAAGCATTGGTTAGGTTAAAATGTTCCTGATGTAATGAGTTGGCTCTTAATATTGGAAGATATCTGCAGCGCAGTCTGTTTATTTCTATATCAAGCTTATCATGGTGGATGGGTAGTTGATGGCTAGCCTCAATTTTTCTATATTCTCTGAGCAAGAAATGATATCTTCGCAGTTTCGGCGACGGAATATGACTCAGAATGGGAAGACAATAGTTTGGTGTATGTCTAATTATATTGTATTGTATTGTGTTTGCTATTGAGCGATACTGAGAAAGCATATTCAGCCGCCAAGTATACAAGTCCGAGGTCGAATGATCTGAGTACAGAGGCTGAGGACTCCCATGTGGTGCTACATAGCTTTTGGACTGTATTTTTTTGAGTTTTCAATTTCGGTGCTATTGTTTCTAGGTGTTCTTTAAAACTTATTGTCCAGAGTCACTCGAAGATATTTTGGAGTTATGAGTGAGTGAACGGAGAGTTTTTTACTGGCTTGGGCATTATTCAGGTGGAAACTGCACACTTCGATTTTCAACGAAGGTCATCCGTTATTATTGTTTCTGTAATAATATACATGTTATAATGTCTTGCTGAAATGGCCCGATGGTCAGCGTAGCCAAATTTCTACGAAGTTGTATAATTTAAACAGTTTTAAAGTTGCCCATTCTGACTAAAAAGGTCTGTCAGTGACCATAATATCAATGAGTTAAGTTACTTTTTGACACGAGATGGCACGGATTAGTTTGCAGATTAGCCCTTATCTTTAGACAGTATCATATGCAGCTGATAGGTCAATCAAGGCAACTCATGTTTTTTGCTTTATTTGAAAACATGCTTTAATATGTGTTGTTAGGGATACGATCTGATCTGTGCATCTGCAGTTAGGTCTGAACCCTACTTGTTTAATAGTTATCAATTCAAATATGTTTCTACTATCTCTGTAGTAGATAAAGCGTTCCAAAAGTCTATAGCCATAGCTCAGCTGTGAAATCGGTTGGTAGTTTTGGGGCTGTTCATTTGTCTTTTCTGATTTTATTGTGGCTATAGTGAATTAGATTTCTTTTGATTTTAACATATCTCTATAAAAATCAGCCTGCTACTTCCTAGCATCTTTACTAGGTGCACAGTGGAGTAAAAAATCTGGATGGATTTTATCGAAGCCGGTTACTTTTCCAGACTTAATTTCTGATATTTCTAAAATAATTTCTCCTGAAGTAAACTCTTGAGAGTATTCAGATGTAGGCGGGCATGCAGACTTTAGTATATTTAGTTATTTTTTTACTTTGGTGGTGTGGTCACGATCTCTAGGTGCTCTTGAGGTGTCTTCAATGTGGGACGTCACTCTGTTGGGAGCTATTGGTATTTTGTCTCCAGTTAGGAGTGTACTTCTACCAAGTTTTCTATTTAAAGACCATGTTTTTCTTCTTAATTTACTAGTCTTGTTTAAGACATATATATTAAATTCTTTATCCTTTTCATTTTCTATATTATTTCTTTATTTATTGAATAATGTCTTGGTTTATAAACCTATTATTGTTTTCTGTCTTATTTTGTGGAACATTTAAAATTGATTTACAAACATTTTTTGTCTGTTTTAGCTTTGGTTTCTGTTTTATCCAAAGACTGCTGGATTTTTTATCTAGGTATCTATCCTATTCGTCCGGAGATTTTTTTATGGCTGATTTTTTTGTTTTTAGCTTTTACTTTTTTTTGGTTATTTAGAGAAACGGATTTTGTTTGTTTGTAGCTTTTCTTTGAATTTTTTTGTTTTTACTCTAATATCGTAAATCAGAAAACAAAATAAACATATAGTACTAATAACTCTTAAGAATTAAACTCAACATGACAATAAATCTTTTTAGTCATATTTTTAATAACACACTGACCCACTATAAACCACTTAAATTTTATATTTCGTTGATGCAACTATGAAAATTTGCAAATTATGTTAAAAGTATAAAATAGTGCAATTGTTTTGTCCTTGTGTATATTATATGCACTATAACATAAGAACAACGTTGTTGTATATTGCCTAAGTATATAGACAGAATTAGGAAGAAAGGAGGGAAAGAGGTAATATTATAGACAATAAAACAAGTAAAGTTTTAATCATTTTTTTATTAGTACTTTTAAATCTCCCATTGCTATAAAATTGTTAACCTTGTTTTCTTAAGAATAATTTTAGAACCATATGTAATGCTAAAAATATACAAAAAAAAATAAATTAGTAACTTGGTGTTATGTTTTTTACTTGATTCAAATTATTTTATACATAAATTAGTATCACATATAAGTGGTGGTCTATTGGTGGGATATGGAAACAATACATTGACTTATACTCCTTACAGTGAGGATATTGGCCTGTATTGCTCTTTAATTGCATTGGTGACCATTATTGGCAAAATAATCATGTTTAAGAAACGGCATTCAGGCAGAATATTTATGTAGTTATTACATTATTTGATACATTTTGTGGTATTTTTAAGAATATCATTGATTTAATTTTCTTAAGATTCATTTGCAGTTCGTACCTTACACGTCGCTTGCAAATATGACCGTATCATTAATATTATCAATGCTATTTTCGTTGACCAAAATACCTTCCACAATATCCAACAAAATTTCTTAAAATATCACTTCACTATAGACGTTTAATAAGAGTGGTGAAAGTATGCAACCTTGTTGAACTCCTCTAAGTATACTTAGATCCTCTGTCAGTTCTCCTTCGACTCTTATTCTTGCTTTCTGACTTTTATATAATTGTAACAGATTTGATATAATTTGTAGATCTCTACTATCTATATTTTTGGTCTTAAGAATACTTAAAAGCTTTTCATGTTGAACTCTGTCAAAAGCTTTTTTTAAAATTTATGAAGCAAGCATATATGTCCTGATACATATACAGACATCGTTGTGTCAGAACATTTACTCCTAATAATGCTTCTCTAGTTCCTAGCCCCTTTCTAAAACCCATCTGTGAATCACTTATTTCTTGTTCTTGTTACCAATTTCATGTGGATTCTGTTATGTATGATTGTAAGGAAGGTTTTCAATGTGTGGCTCATTAATGCAATTGTCCCATCTTGTATATGGAGTTAAAAGGGGTCTACCAAGACATCAATATTATCTTCATCAATTATCTTCAATAGTTCAATTGGTATATAATCTGGTCCTGGAGCTTTTCTACCTGTTGTGTGTTTTATGGCATGAATAACTTCTTCTTTCATAATTCCTGGTTTCGTGGTTTCTCCGTCAACTTTTTACTTTACGGTTTTACTTAGGTACCAGTAATAGTTATTAGTTTTATTTAGAGCTGCTATACTCACCTTTTCATCAATAGTTTTCTGGACGCATTTTTGCATATTCCATATTTTCAAAACAAGATCGTCACCAGCTGAAATTGAATAAATAATATAAATATTTCCTAAACAGTGTTACGTATTCACATCTCATTAATAAGAGTTAAAAAACAGTTGTATACAATCGATATGGGGTGCATAGTAAAGTAAAGAATGATATTTGACATTTTTCAAATGTCTAAATCTTAATCCGATCGACAAATCTTTTCTACACATAACATAACATTTTTTTTGCTAAATGCGTATCGTTAATTCATCAGACTCAGCTAGCAATCAAATTAAATAATTCTGTTGGTTATTTTTTTGTTTTTAACGTTTATTTATTCACTTAGTTCAGATACCTGTATATGTATCATTTATTTGCGGTCTCTGATGGTCTATTTTGGCGGCCATTCACCATCACGGCCTGTGATGCTCAATCTCCTTATTAAAATTCTGATCTTTTTGTATTATTGTCTCTTTATAATGTCCTTATGTGTTATAGAAACCATTGCATGTGCAAAAAGCAACATACTTAACTGGTTTTCGATTAAATTCTTTATTTATTAAACTGTAAATGTACTTTTTCGATCTGTTTTTCACATCTTTTTCGTGAAATAATATTTAGTTAATTTAGGAAAAGACAACTAAGAATAAGACTTACAATCAAAATCATTTGATTGTAAATAAGCCTTATTCTTATTTCTCTTTACTAATCCGAAATTGTTAGGGTCTTTATTTTGCATACATCTTTTGTTGTTTCTCTCTTGATATAAGTCGATTGTATAGATGTGCATTGAGCTTCTGATTTAGCTTTTGCTGCTGCTACTTTTACTACTTTTATGGCGACTGTAGAGTTTCGAATATCTATGTCTGACCTATTTTCTTGCTACTGTTCATAAAATTTTCTCTTTTTTTTTTAATTTTTCTTGATCTGTGTTTGACCAACACCAAGTCTTTTCATTCTGAAACTCATTTCTACACGATTTTCCAAGTTTCTTAGTAGCAGTATCTCTACTATAGAAAAACTTCATATCTTCAATATATCTAATAACTATTGTATTTTTCGCTAGGAAGTGATCTTTGACCTTATAATATTTTAGCATCCTTCCGAATCATTTAAGATCTGTCAAAATATTATAATTATTGTAACAATAAAACACTGAAAACTTTGTTTCCAAACTTCCAAAAATTTATTTTAACTTAGCACTACAGCTGTATCGGCTGATTACCTTTCTCAAGTGATCTATTTTAGGCATGCGTATACATCCCCTCCTCAACCTATTCCATTAGAGATTATAAAATTTAAACGCATGCCATAAATAGATCATTTGAGAAAGGCAATCAGCCGAAACAACTGTAGTGATAAGTTAAAATAAATTTTGTGGAAGTTTGAGAACAAAGTTTTCAGTGCTTTATTGTTACATAAAATGAATTTCCATCAAGTTACGATCGAATCCATCAATTATCATTAATATTGGTAATTGTTTAGAACTGATAAAACTAACAAAATATACATATTATAATAATTTTAAACTTACGTAATTTTCTTGCCTCTTCATTACATTTCATATAGTGGACTGCATCTTCCTTGTGCATATCAGGTATGTAATAATACATTTTTCTTGAATCCAAAACAAGGTCTTCATGTAACTGAAATATAAATTATTTGCATTATGTTTATAAAATTTAAAGTAGAATATAAATATATATATATAGGAAAAATTATACTCACTCCCATAACAACCATCCAGAGGCAGTAAGTGTATCTCTGAAACATAAATATAAATACTGGTTAAAAAATAATATTACTCAAGGAATGTAGTAATTGGTACTTAAATAGGACTAGGATACAAACTAAGAGTATGCTTTTATATTAACGTAGACTACCAAAAAATACCCTTTTAATGTCTTCTTCTTGTAGTGCCTATCCGTTTTGGATGTTGGCGACCATCATGTCAATCTGTATTTTGCAAACTGCTCCTCTGAAAAGATTTGTGGTTGTTGTGTTGAACCAAGTACGTAGATTTTTGAGCCAGGAAATTATTCGCCTTCCTGGTCTGCGTTTTTCTTCTACTTTTCGTTGTAAAATTAATTGCAGCAACCCATATCTTTCGTCGTTCCTCATGATGTGACCGAGGCATTCAAATTTGGCTGATTTCATTGTGATTAACAACCTATATATCCTTTTGCATTCCTAATAAAACGTTCTGGTTAGTAACGTGGTCGGTATAGGATATCTTCAGTACTCAACAATAAAACCATATTTCCAGAGCCTCAATTTTCTTGCAGCCAGCGTCTGTGAGAGTCCACGAATCAATTATGTACAACAGTATAGAAAGGATATAACATTGTAACCTGTTTTTTATGGGTACTGATAAATCATGGCATTTGAGTAGCTTAGTCATTTTTTGAAATCTTGCTTTCTCTATCCTACATTTTATTTCTAAGAAATGGTCGCAATGTTCATTGATCTTCATACCAAGGTAGGTTTTCTCTCTTTCTATTGGTTGACCATTCACACTGATTTTTTCAATTTGCTATTCCTTCTTACAGATCATCACACATTTTGTTTTCCTAACGTTCAGTGATAGTCCATATCTCTGACTCACTTCTGTGATTCTATTCCTTAACTCCTGGAAGGCTTCATAACTGTCAGCGTATAACACCGTGTCATCGGCTTAGCTGATGTTATTAATACATTCTCCGTTAAGTCGAATTCCAGCGTCAACATCCTATACTATATATACTCTAGTATATGTTGAACAGCAAGGGTGATAGTATACATCCATGTTGGACCCTACGTTTGATTTTGGTATCATGGGATTCTCCTGCCTCTGTACAAATAGACTATGTTTGATTCCAGTATAGACTACTGATAATTCTTAGATCGCAGGTGTTTATTCCAATATTTGTTTATATCTCCATCAGCTTCTCGTGTTTTACTGTATCGATCGCTTTATGATAAATCGATGAAACATGCAAAAATACAGCGTTTCACTCATCTCTACATCATTGAAATACCGCTTGTATGCTAAAGAGAGCCTCTCTCGTACCACTGCGTTCCGAAAATCAAACTGTGTACGGCTGATTTTGTCTATATATCCTTTGTATGATGTACGATTTTTAGAAATTACTTGTACTTTACTTTTACTTTACTGAGAAAATGTGGCTCATTAAGCCGATGATCCTCAAATCATTGCAGGATAAGACTAATGAGAGTAGTAAGAGCAATAAACGTTGACAAAAAAGCTTGACGTTGAGTTAATGGCTTAATGACAATTGCGAATGTATCTCAATTACAGTTATAAACAACAGTCTATCGCATAGTAGTACATGCAGACAATACTTGTGAAGCTGTAGCATTATATTGATTATTAACAATAAACAAAATATAAAAGTGAAAGATCCATAGCTGCAAGATGAAGAACTTGTTGTTTGGAAAATATCTAAGATTACAACAAAACACAAGAACTTACAATATCAATATAAGACGAATTCTCAAAATTGAATGGCTTAACGATTGCTAATATACGAAAAGAACAAGGAATAAAAGAAGATCTCATTGGAGGTTCGTTGAATAAAAGTGTATAAGATAGGAGATCTAGTAATATTTCGAATACTATTGCGCCAATAAAATTAACTAAATCTTTGGAAATCTATTTGGTACCGTCAATTCCGCATTGACTTACAATGGAACAAAAAGAAAATACTGATTATTTTTTTATTGCCTTTTCATGACTTAAAAACTTATTGTAATCTCTATTTTAGGAGTCTAGTAACAAGATAGAGGCAAATTGTTGTATTTTGGAACTGTACTTTACCAATAAAGCAACGTGTGTATTCAAAAATTTTCGTTTCATTAAATAATTTATACCCTACATAATACTCTGCTGATTTGGATTTTAGAGATATCGCCTATATTAAAACAAAAAAAAGATCGTTGATTAGAAATTTTTGTTTGGTTCCAAGATAATCAAAATACCTATATAAAAAACTTGAATTGAATGACCTTTATTTCTTAAGATTTTTTTAAGATATTGCATATTTTTCTAAAGTTTATTTGATATACCGACCTTTATAGCGATATCTTCAGGAAAGCGGCCGTTTGTCATTTCCTCGATGAGAGCTTCACTAGCTCCAGTAATTCTTTTGCACCTGTTATGAGATTCATCCATCAATTCATGCAAATGTGGTCCAAAGTCCTAAAAACAAAGTTAAAAATTGTTTTTTTCCTATGTCTTTAGAAAAGTGATACCATTATATTATATAATAATGTGGTACACTTTGTTAAAATATATGTACAATATTAAAATAGTAAAATATTAGGATGTCCAAAAGCGGAAAAAGTATAGGTAAAAAGAAATGAGAATAAGCTTTACTCACAATTAATTTATTCTGCCACCAAAAGCCACGTCCTTGTATCAGCAAGTAAGTATTATTTATTTGTTTTTTAATTTTACTAGTCGTTTTTTCACTTTCACAAGTCTTATTTTTTATGTGTGATTATTAATAATCACACAAATATAATATTGGCATAATTGCTGTATATTATGTACCAGAGAGTACCTTAATACAAGTTATTATGTTTTCAGCACTTAGTTTACTATGTACCGTAGGACCTGAAGATGCATATCAAATTTTATAGTATGCGAAACCAGTCGTTGGTGGTAAAATAAATTGATTGTGAGTAACTCTTATTCTATTTTCTTTTTACCTATTTGACATGAACTTACAGAGGCAACAAGATTTCAAAAAAGGTATTTTTACAGTTTATTAAATAATAATAATATTAATAATTTGACAAAAAGTTAATATAGCTACCTAATATAGCATTTTCAATGATTACCAAAATAACAAACGAGGAATTTACTCAAAATCTTTAAAAATAAACAAGGGTAAACTAGTTACGCCAGATGATATTCCTTATGAAGTACGCATAGTTTTAAACCAACTCTATAAGAACAGGTTGTCTTACAGACTTGTTTATTAGAACTAAAGAAGCCGCCAAACCAAGTAGGGTTTGTACCTGGCAGTGGCACTACAGAACATATTTTAAACATAAGACAAATTGTAGAAGAAGCCAGAGAATTCAACATACTATTTATGATATATTGATTACACCAAAATTTGGTCTGAGAAGCAAATGCCTGAAGAATGGAGCTTAGGCTTAATTTGCCCATTACACAAAAAGGGAAACCAACTGGAATCCAATAATTATCGCGGAATCCCTCTCCTTAATACAGCATACAAGATATTGTCATACATTTTGCATGAGAGATTGAAACCTTATACCGAAACGTTTCTAGGAGAATATCAGACAGGATTCAGGCGTAGACATTTAACCATTAACCAGATCTTTACACTACGACAGATCCTCGAAAACCGGAAGAGTTTAAGATAGATATGTATCATCTTTTTGTCGATTTTAAAGTGGCATATGACAGTGCCTTAAGACCAAGTCTTTACAACGCTATGAATGAGTTAGGAATTCCAAAAAAAACTCGTATGTTTGATAAAAGTGACAACGGCGAAGATCCTATCAGCAGTAAAACTTCAAAACGACTCGTTTTGATATAACTATAAAAGTACTTCTACAATCTTTAAGTTTTATTGCTATATATTTAATTAATTTATTATACGATTTACTTACTTTTTTGTCCAGTTTGCAGTTTACCAATACAATGAAGTAAACAAGACATATCGTTGATGCTACAAACTTCATTTTGGTGTTTTATCTATAAACTAAAAAAAATTTAAAAATAACCATTAGTAAGCTATAATAGTGATAATAAGAATATGTCGACAATACAGCTTCGAACTATTGGTTGACATCAGGATAGATGTTTTCTGAGACTACTTTTCTACTGAGGTTTTCTACTTTCTACTCATGATCAGGTTATTTCAACTAAAAGTTACCTAAAATATATTTTTAAAGATACTTAAGTCCAAAATGATAAATGCCAATATGGATCTAAATCCAAAAAAACTATCCAACATTTTATTGGGGGCTTTCAGGCGTTTGTGGCAACTAATTATAAGTAACGCCTTAACTCAGTAAAAAAAATTATCGACCAAGAACTAGCTAACAAACTGGGACTTCTCCAAACCGAATATCTTTCTTAATATCAATATGTCTCCGACAGAATGCTTAAACATGACAACTACAAGCTATACTAGATCCGCACTGTCCTTATAAACTATCTAGCCGCACATAATACGCCAGATCTCTTGCTAATAGACCGTTAATAAACTCACTAGGCAAATAACACTGATTAATGAGGCGATACCTAACGCCAAGAATTTGCGTGTTAAATAGAACGAAAAGATCGCCAAGTACAGAGATCCAGAAATACAAATTAGAAGATAATGTAGAATGGAAGGTACCCAGACAGTAGCTATTATTATTCTCCAAAAACCTCCCAGAGAACATTAAACAACTGGGTCTAAATGAACATCCCTATAAGGCCATGGCTGACGTCCAGATGTGTAAGAAAAGTTTAGGGAGATACTTCGGCATACCGAGTCACCTAAGTCTCGATTACACAGAAAGAGTCTCACCAGAGCTCAATCATTTTGATACCGTAGGTATCTGAGATGAGTGAATTTTCTCCTTAGAGGAAGTGTAAGCCATATGGCTAAATCTTGATAATAATAAATGAGCACTTTGATGAAAGCAGGCTTATGGTTTGGTTTATAATCCTCCTCCATTCCTGTTTGTTCTTCGATTTTTTTATTTGCTTACATTGAGATACCTTAGGTCATCATCAGCTTTATGACTCTATCTGATCCTAGGTCTCTTTTCTCTTTTTACCAACTATTGCAGTAATAACAAAAATTTTGGCAAGACATTCTTTGGACATATCCTAAGCATCTAAGTATTTGTGGTCTTACCACTGCAGTTATATTAGGCTCCTAATATAATTCTCCGATCTCCGATAGAAGAAAAACATAAAGAAGGGGATGAAGTTAAATACATAGAAAATTAAAAAAATAAAGACCACTTATAAAATAAATTTTAATAATTAGCAGGAAGAGTGTTAGGATCATAAAAAGATGAAAAATACTTTCGCTGTGCTTGGTAACAAACCATGGTATGTAATGTGGGTAAGCTATAAGACCTTATAAACACCAAGTATAGTAAATACAATAATAATAATAATATTAAGACATAAGTTTGTTAAACAAACAGCATATTAAATAAATAGCACAAGAATTTATTTAAAAAATTGATAGTACTTACAGGAAACTACAATTCAATATATTCTTACAGACTGACTGTAGATATACAATCCTGCTCTTTTATAGTCAGTGGTAACAATGTTTTATAGGCTTATAATTGACTAACCTACAGTTTAATTGGTTGCACAGCGATATCTTTAAATGAAGACATTGATGGACATATTGTCTGATATCAAACTTTCATTTATTCTTTATTAATAATTATAATATTTGTTCCAAAATACAGATAAGAAAAGATCAGACCGAAGCAACACTACCATTATTAAAATTTTATATTTATTATTAAAATTTGTAGTTATTGTGTTGCTAGTTGTCATTAGTATTGCCATTGCCCAATGCTTTTATTCGGAAGAGAGAAATATCAAAGGGGTATCATCAAAAAATGTGATCAATGCTACCAAGAAATCGACGTTGTCATCGCAAAGACGTCTGATAATATAAAAATCCCCTGAATAGAAACACCAAATTAGAATAAGGAAATAAGTAAGGAAATAGTTAGAAAATTCGTTCATTTTTCACTTTTTCCATTAGTATTAATCTGCAGTTTCTTTTCCGGAACATCATTTCCATTACATTTACTCTGTTTTGCATTTTTTTATTCGTCACTCACGTCTCTGAGCCATTCAGTGAGCAGCATTCCACTAATTGTCTGAAAAAATTGATATTTAGTTTGGCTTTTAATATCGTGACTCTGTATAATCGACTGTATTTGTCGTGTTATTGTCTTTCCTTTTTTATATTTTATTTGTTTTATTCTTTTTATCCTATCTTTTATTTGTTTGTTAAAGTTACCTCCAAGTATTTATATGTATTTGTTTATTGTTTTATTAAGTGGTTAATTACTTCCAGGTTTCTGCGGTGTGTCCAATGATTATGTGTTGCATTTTATCATAATTAGTTTAAAAATCTTAGCTTCCAAGTTTTTCTTTCAACTATTTTATCTTTGTTTCTGCTAAAATATACTAAGTGGCATAGAAATCCGAACACCCAGTTTAAATAATTTTATTTTCATAAAATTTTGTATAAGTATTTAATGAATTATGATAAGTAAATGATTAAAATTTCAAAAAGATTGCATTGCTTTAAAGCCCTTTTACCTTTAATAATGTGTGGATACACCCGATGTGTTACGCATTCTCCAATGCGCCTAGGCATGCTTCTGATCAAGTGGTCAATGTTCTCTTGTGGTATCTCATTCCAGGCAACCACCAACTCCTCTCAAAGTGCTTGTAGAGTCTGAGGAGGACGTTGCAAATTGAGCAGTTTCCTACCCATCATATCCCACACGTGCTCAATTGGGGATAAGTCAAGAGATCTTGGTGGATATGCTAACAATGTGACATCATTATGTTAAAAGAAGTCTATTGTGACTCTTGCAACATGTGGTCGGGCATTATCTTGTTGTAAAGTTGGATTTGCCAGGGTGTCAAGATAGAGTGAAATTTGGGGTTTCAGAACTTTTTGGATATAACGCTGCGCGTTCATGTTACCTCTGATGAAGATTCAAGGTGATCTGAAACCATAAGCTATAGCACCCCAAACCATAACTCCAACAGTGTGATGAACATGTCTTTCAACAAAAAACTGTGGATTCCTCCTTTCACCACGTCGCCTTCTAACCCTCGCTTGACCATCGTGCATGCCTAAACAAAATCGAGACTCGTCACTAAAGACAATACTGTTCCATTCCGGATTCCAGAGTGACCGTTCTTTGCACCACTGAAGGCGATTACAGCGGTGTTATGAAGTTAAAGGGAGGACCCACTGTGGTCGGTATGAAAAGAGGCCAAAACTTCTCATTTGTCGGTAAACACTTTCCATGCCAATAGGTCTTCCGTGTTCTGCAAACCATTCATTTGCAATGAAGCTGGTAGTGGAGAAACGGTCTCGTAAGGCCAATAATTTTAGACGGCAATCTTCACGGTCTGTTGTTCTACGGCGGCGTCCAGTGCCCCTCGGTCTTTGCGTACGGCCTTCTTGAAGCCATGTCTGACAACACCTAACCACGGTGTTTACACAAGTCCAGCTTCCCGAAGTCCCATTATACGGCTCCTATCAAACTCACTAAGTTGACGAAATCGTACAGGTCTCCTTACTCTAGGCATCGTAACCAATCATAAAGAATGTCAAGAACCACAATCCGCCAAATTTGGATCTTTACTGCGGCTGAAATAGTCATTTTTAGATTGTTAGTGAGTTTAAAAACAAACAAAAAGTAAAAAGTTTAAACAAAAAGTATAAAAACCAAAATCTCCAACTGATAAGGCTAAAAACTTTATCACTTGTTTTTTTTTTAGTAAAATAAATAAATTACACCAAATTTTATTGAAATAAAATCATTAAAACTGGGTGTTCGGATTTCTATGTCACTTAGTATAATTTTTGCCATCGATTTTAACTCACTTCTGTTCACATTTCTTGCTTGTGTTTTTTGATGTTTTATTTATATATCGTTTAAATAAGGTAAGTGACAGGTAACATCCTTGTCGAAGTCCTTAAATGTTTCTGAGTAGTGTACCCATATAGTGATTTACGGCATTTGTTTAGGTGTTATGAATTCTGTGATTTTTCATTACTTTCCAGCGATTGTTGACTGGAATAAGCGTTGGATGCTAGTATATTTTAGGTCTGTTTTATAGAAACTATATAATTAGTATATGAGTGTCCGGGACAAAAACCACTTTGCTGTTCTAAAGTTCGCAGCTGTCCCCACATATTTTCTGTAATGATAATCTTATTTTGTAAGTTGCGAAAATATAGAGATATCTTATATCTCGTAATAACTCTAAGTGATATTTTAACCATTCCTCCATTGGTAATGGTTATCTTTCATAGGTATTCTGTATGAAGTTCCTTAACGTTATAAATTCCTTCTTTGATCTTGAGCTTTCCATTAAAGCTGTCTATGTAGTCCAGTCAGGATCTGTTTTACATTAAATATTTTTATAGGAGTCTATTTTTTTGCTAGAAGCACTTCAGGGTGTACCTTATATTAATAATTACGGTATATTGCAGTCCAAAAATATTTTACCAATTTTTTTATTTAATAGAATTTTAAAAAAATCGAAAATTGTTGCTTTATATTTTTCTGTATGCTCGACAGATATTGCTCGTATAAAAAATAGTATATGTATTACTTTATGAGGCGGAGAAGCAGACTTTTCTTGACGCGCCCGATATTACGCGCCGAACGAAGTGAGGCGCGTAATAGAGGGCAAGTCAAGAAATGTCGCTTCTTTGCAGAATAAAGTATACTATTTTTTCTTCAAACGTACCAATTTTCAACCATAAATAGTACAATTCATACGCTATGTTTACTCAAAATTAACTGTGACAGCTATCAAAGTCGTCTAGATGTTAGAAATTAAAATACTTAAGTCGTCGGTGGGATTTGCGTCTCCCTACTTGACAGTTGTTTGCAATTATTAAAGACAGCTTATTGTTGTTGCAACCGCAAGCGCAAATTTAGTGAGAAAATGGAAAACCTAAACGAAATTAAGTCCGCGGCAGTAGCACGTTTGGGGCCCTCCAAGTCCGGAATAAAGTATCGGTTAGCGTACAAGCACTTCCAAGAGTGGTGCAATAGAAGAGGAGTACGGCAGGTTACCGAAGACGTTTTACTGGCATATTTTAATATAATGGAAAATGAAAATAAATATAAATCTTCTACAATGTGGTCACGATACTCTATGATAAAATCCGAGTTAGTTATTAGAAAAAATGTGGGTATAAGCAAATTTTTAAAGTTACGTGCCTTTCTGAAAAAAAAAAACAAGCGAAGGATGTACTGCAAAGAAGTCTAAAGTTTTCACTAAAGACGAGTTTGATAAATTTTTGTTTGAAGCGCCAGATAAGTTGTATTTAGGATTAAAGGTAAAAAAAATTATATTGCAAAGCATGTAGTATAATCTACTAAATTATAAAAATATTTCAGATTGTTTTGTTAATTGCGGTTACCGGCGCCTGTCGATGCGACGAAATGGTAAAAATGAAGACTGTGGACATTGAGGATAAAGAAAATGTAATAATTATCAAAATTTCAGACAGTAAAACACGACAAATTAGATCTTTTACGATAATTGGTCAAAACTACATTAAATTTTATAAAAAGTATGCATCACTGCGGCCTGAAAATTTCACAGAAAACCGATTTTTTTGTCAAGTACCAAAATGGAAAGTGTTACCGAAGCGTCATGGGAATACATTTGATCAGCGCAGTAGCCCAAAAAGTAGGCTAATAATAATAAAATATTTAAATTTAAACGATGCAAGCGCATACACGGGTCACTCTTTACGACGAACTTCAGCAGCACCTTTAATTGATGGAGGCGGAAATCTAGAATGCCTCAAACGACATGGGGGCTGGAAGTCAAGTACGGTTGCCGAAGGATATATAGAGGATTCCATAAATAAATAAAAACGATAATTCTCAAAAAATTTTAAACCCATATGATTCGCACACATCGGTAATGATTGCTGAAAGTTGTTCTCGATCATCAGTATCATCAACAATTACCAATGCGTATAAAGAGTCGGGAACATTTTAGCACAGTTTCAATTTTTAAATGCCTCATTAACTAATTGTACTTTTAATATTACTATAAATAAAAATGATGTTTAATTGTTGTTAATGACATTTGTATTGTTGCTTTGTGACATGTTTCATATTGTTGCCATGACAACATTTTTCCCTCCGCCGTAAAGAAATGAAAAAAAAACTGCTGCTGGCGGAGACATTAAACTTTGACAGGATCAAGTTAGATAAGTAATGTCATCATTATTTGACGTTTAAATAAAAAATATATTTATATAACAATTTATCTGTCACCAGCATTATATAATATCTGTCCGTCATTTTCCTTTTCAATATTTGTTTCTTTTGATCAATATCAAAGTATTTGAGTTTTGTTGTTTTCATACCAATCTTTATTTGTTTTCTTTGTTTATATTTTGTTTTTGTTGCTAGTTTGTAAAGAAAAATATCGACTCGTCGTTTAGTTTATTATACTTTCATTATATTTTATTTTGATTTGACTGTTATTTGTAGAGTATTGAAGGCGAGTTAAGTTTCACAGTACTTAGACCACAATGGACCCATTATGCATCCTCCCATGGAGCTGTTGCCTTTAGCTCATTGTCCATCCTGCCATTTCTAGGAAAGTGAACAAGTCACCAGGAGGCTATTATTGCATATTCCTGACATTGACATTAAGCTGTTGGATGATGGTTGGGAATGTAATTTTATCAAACGTTCCTGCAATGTCTACAAATATACCTAGGGTGGATTCTTTATTATCCAGTGACGTTTTAATGCTTTCCACTACTTGTTGCAGTGCAGACTCGGTGAAGTATATTTATGCTAATTTAGGTGAAGTGGATTATGAACCGAAACTTCATCTCTAATGTACTTCTCGCATAGCGTTAGGCTAATTGGTCGAATAGCCTTTGGTATGGCGTAGTCCATCCTACCTGGTGATGGTATGAGGACCACACGTACCTCTTTTAACTTTCTAGGAATATATATCAGAGCCAAAGAGGTTCTGAATATTTTCACAAGGTGCGGTAGAATTATATCCAGTACGAATATGGTCGAATGAGGTCGAATGCTAGACGTTCAGTGAGGAATTGATTGTTTTTTCCGTCCAGTTTGGTGCTGTTAAGGCGCTAGAACTAGGGAAATGTGTTTTCATCAGGATCTCAGTACTTTTGCGAAGGTTAGGAGTTTTGCTTCCATTTTCCTTAATTAATATGCCGATATGCCGATGTCGGTCCTTTGAGCTGAAACTGGTTTTGTATATATTTTTGTCTAAATATATCATTACATATTCTTAACGCATACTGGTCAAAAAGGTTATTCAGTCTCATTTCATTAACATTGAAGACCAAAAGATTGCTAACAGAGCCCCAAACACTAAAATGTACGACATAATACCAAAAGCAAGACCACAGAAGAGGTAAAAAGATAAATTGACAGTAGACGTACAAAAGTTGCTAGACTTAAGAACCTGGAAAAGGTTGGAGGCATAGTTTGGAGGATTTGGGTTGTAGCTCGATTTGAGCTGTAGAGCGCTTGGAAAGGGGGGTTTTTTCGCATTTAGACTAAAACCTGTTGGTATTGTTAATAAAGTCAATGTCTTTGTGCTGTATAACACTAAGAAATTGCTTACTCGGGTAATTTAAGTGCTCTTCATTTGTTATAGTAGATGATCATCAGATATTAGTGTAATAATATTTCATTACGTTTAATACATTTATTTAAACATACTTATTAACAAAGTCTCTAGTAATCAACAATGTCCAAAAACCTATGATCTAACAATGATCTTGACAAGTAGTGACAACTGACAACGAGTCTACCTACATTGTGCCTAGAGCCCCCTGACCGTAATTATAACCTACTGATATGACATCTTTCCCCTTACATTTGATAATCCTTGAAACGCACTGGAGCCCTTTTGAGTCTAACGCTAGTTTTATTTTCAGCATTCATTTGTTAGGTTGAAGGTTCCTCTCCTCCACAACTCTGATTCCCAGATGAGGAGTTTAATAATCTATCATTATGTGCAAAATCAGTATTCTTCTTAATTTCTGATTTAACTAGGGAAGGCCTCAAGTGATAACTGTTTCGCCTAACCACTTCCCCATTTTCTTTCTGCACTAAATAAGATCTGGCTGCCTCATCTACTTTTTCCAGAACTTTACCTGGTCTCCATTCTCTACCCTCTCTGACACCTACATTCTCTCCTGGCACTATTTCTCTTCTTACCTTGGTGTTTTTATCATAATATTTTTTATATTCGTTTCTTTTCGCCTCTAGTTTCTCCCACTCATCCTCTAGATTTATGTCTTTGTGCATTTTATTTGATGGTAGCTTCGATCTAAGAACCCTGTTAGTTACTAATTGGGCCGGTGTTTTATCTGTTCCATTTATTGGAGTATTGCGATACTCCAGGAGCGCCATATCTAAGTCGTCACACTTTCTAAGCATGTTTTTTGCAATTTGAACGGCTTGTTCTGCCTGCCCATTAGACCGTGAATAGCGGGGACTGGACGTTACAAACCTAACATCCCAGTCTTTAGCAAATTGCTGACAATGCCACGAATTAAAAAGCATGTTATCAATTTTATTAATTAAATCAAGCTCTATGGTAGAACATAAACCCAAGATAGGTGTTGATCTTTCCTCTACAACAACAAAATCTAATAAATGATCAACATTTTTATATTCACAGACAAGTTTTATTATACCCAAAGGAATGATCTTAAAACCACCATATGTCACAAGTATGACCTTAGTTTCTTTTAATTCATTATTTTGCAAACTTTTTCAACAAAAACCTTGGGTAAAATGTTAACCTGTGCCCCTGTATCTATTTTAAAAGGTATATCAATGTTATTAATTTTTAAATTTTCCATCCATTCTTTACTATTTTTATTCTTAATTTCATTAACAGTGATTGATGAAATCATGAAATTGTCTACTTCATTATTTTCACTTTCTTCCACTTGTCTTACTAACCTACCATGATAACACACTTTATCAAAATGCCCATATTTACTTTACCACACTTTCTACACTTTTTTCCATATGCTGAGCACCTCCTTGGTACATGGAGACTCCCACAGTTTCTGCAGTTAAATTCACCTCTAGAAGAACTTGCACCCCTGACTGTTTGGACTGAATTATGCCCCTGCTTGACCTTACTTCCAATTGATTCAATTTTCACCTTCTCTAACCTGTTCAATATCAACCATTTCAATAGCTTTAGTCAGATCTAAATTAATTGTTTTTAACATGCTTTGTTGTGCATCCTTACTATTGGTGCCTAATACTATTTTATCTCGTACCATTAAAAATGCTTCAGCACCAAACTCACAATTTCTTACTTTATTTTTTAAAACTGTTAAAAAGTGGTCAAAAGGCTCTCCTACTTTTTGACTGCGCTTATAAAACAAATATTTTTCATAAACCACGTTTTTTTTTAGGAGTGACATAAGACTCAAATGCTTCCAACACATCTGCTAGCTTTCCTTGTTGGACCTCTGTTAATTCCAAACTGTTATAAATCTCAATGATTTCTTCTCCAATTAAATGGAGTAAAATTAATGTTTCATTGTTTTTAATACATTTATTTAAACATATTTATTAACAAAGTCTCGAGGAATCAAAAATGTCCAAAAACCTATGATCGAACAATGATCTTGACAAGTAGTGACAACTGACAACGAGTCTCCCGACATTGTGCCTAAATCCCCGTGACCGTAATCATAACCTACTGATATGACAATTAGTTGTTATGATTTTTGTTCTTATAGAGTATTTACCTAAAAATACTATAACTTTTACTTTTTATGTGCGTTTTCGTCGTTTTTTTTTGTGTTAGTAATGTGTAGGTACAGGATAAATAATGCAACTTATTTTTTTTTTTTCGGAAATAGTTTATTATACTGCGATTGTCATCTAATTTTTCAATATAACAATAACTCCAGCTGGCTAGAAGAATAAGTAGTGCTGAAAAATAAAAAAATATATACATAAAAAATTAAAGACTAAATAGTATTATGTATAATTCAGTTAACTACCCATCACACTTAGCTATGTGTTATTCGTTATGCGCCATATTCGGCCGCATTAACCGAAGTGTGGAGGGTACATTCGTCAATTACTCCCTTATTCGCACGAATAAACAAATATCCAAATAAAGCAATGTAAAAGCAAGCGAGATGTTGAGCAGTATTTAATAGAATTGGAAACGGAGCCGAAACAACTTGATCTAATCATCAACGAAAACAAAAACAAGTAGGTTGGTTACTAAGGATTTTACAGCAAGTAAGAAATAGGAAACAGCATTTGAAAACAATATCTTCATATTGATACCTCCACATCGCTAGTGACTACTACCAATGAAACAAGCGAATCAATTAAAAGACGAATAAACCTTACAAATATAACATACTATGAACTCCAAACACAATTAGTCTAAAGAAATATAACAAAAAAACTAAAAGTATTATAAACAAAACACTGCTGAGGCCGGTTCTCATATACAGGGTAAAAATATGTACTCTAATGGAGAAGGACCTTTGGTAATAAATAAGCGTTAGATACTCTGCAAAACATTTGGAGCTATAAACGATCAAGGGCAGTAGCAAAAAAAATTTAATACCTGACAACATTATTGCTAAAAAGCTAACGACAGGAACACCCATAGAAAGAAGAAGCAGAGACCGACCGCGAATTAGGTGGTAAGATGAAATTAAGACCGACTTAGGGATACTAAAGATCAGAAGATGGCAAGACGTTGCCAGAAACCGAACAGATGGCGACTTATCTTAGAGCAGGCCAGGATCCACAAAGGATTGTCAAGCCAAAGATGATGGTGATGATGAAGGTGAAAAAAGCACTACTTAAAATCTTAATCGGTAAAAAAGCTGAAGATGACACATAAACTACTGAAATATGATTGAACATCACTGACGAAACAACTCATTGTCCAGCAACCTTAGAAAAAATAGTGATATATCATATATGGGCGATATTAAATAGTAACTAAGCTATAGAGGCTAATAATCACACTAAAACTTATAACCTAAATCTTTCATTTACAAACAAACATTACAATAAACTCGGCATATTAACAAGGTTTTTTTACTGGAAGATCTTACCTGAGCGTCCACTCTACCCTGAGCACATTTTTGCATTTGCCACATCTTTTGAACAACATCATTGCCAGCTAGAATAGATCATAATTATTTATTGATAAGTTTTTAAATACACTGTTATAAAAACAAGACCAATAGTATTTAAAAAAATAATTAAAATAACCAACAACGCAGTATATCAAGCTTTAAAAATAAAAGAACATGCAATACTAAGTAATAATTGTTTCATCTCGTTATTCTCTTTCCATGAATAAACGAACGATCTCTGAAGAGATGGACTGGCAAAAGGTTAGCAATTGAATAGTTTTGAAGATCACCGAAATTAAATTCATTATTTATTGATGGAAATTTATTTTATCTAACCAGAAAACACAGAACACTTTTATTTTGAACACTTGCACAAAATTTATTTTAAATTATTATTCCTACAGCTGTTTTGGCCAGAGTGCCTTTCTCGAGTGATCTATTTTGGTATATGTATACATTTAATAGTCTTTAACTGAATAAGTTGAGGAGGAAAAAACTGTTTAAAAAAAATAAAGGTAGCTTAAAGCCTTTATTTTGAATGAGAAAAATATAAAATTCATCATTAAAAGAATGATTGGTCTAGAAGATAAAGTGTGTACGTAGAGTTTGTTTTTCTATTATTGAAAGCTCTTTTATGTTCTGCTATACGTTTAATACAAGTTCTACCAGTTTGATGGTTATTCGCTAGATTTAAGTTTGTAACACCGCTGGGTAATTGTTTTTTATTTGTTTTTTTTTGTTTTTAATATATTTGCCTAAATTGTTGTTTGTTATAAAAGCTGGTGTTATTCCTGTCTTGTTTATGTGTTTGGCTATTTTTATTGATATCTTGCTTGTATATGTAATCGAGCAGAAGGTACCAGGTTTTTTCTTTGGTGGTGGAAATACTAATTTCAATTTATGTAGTTTTGATTTAAAATTTTATTTATTGTGTGTTTGTTATACCCATTTTCTACTGCTATTTAGTTATTTTTTAACATTAAAAATTTCTATTAATCTCTGTAACATGCTTTGGTAGGTAGCCAATTTGTCTTGTCTTGTCTTGGGATAATGAATTGTCTATAATCGTATCAATATGAGTAGGTTTATGAAATATGGAAAACTCATGTTTGTTTCTAAGTCTGATTTTTAAATCTAAAAAATTTATGGATTGATTTTGATCTGTTTCTATTGTAAATTTAATATGACTATGAAGTGAATTAATATACGATAAAAATTGCTCGAGTTGCCTATTAGTTCCTGTGAAACATACCAGTACATCATCTACGTATCTCCTCCAATACAAAAACTGTTTGAATATGAGATGTTTTAAATCTTTATTTCCAGATGGTCCCTAAAAATATCTGATAGCAATGGGCTAAGAGGATTACCCTTTAAAAGTCCTGTACTGTTATTTGGATATAGTTGATTATTAAATTCAAAGTAGTCATAACTTATGCAAATTTTAAGATGTAAAATTTCACACGTAAAGATTGGATTTGTAATATTAGAACACAAAAGGTTTTTTACTAGAACAAAAGTTTATGGATAATTGAAAATTCAAAAGAAAATGTAAAAAAGTATTTTTGAAGTGTGTATATTTTAAGCAATTCCTAGCTGAGCGCTTTCGGCTTTACAAAGCCATCATCAGAGCTATGCTACAATAAAATGTTCTTATAAGTACTAATTGGTAAAGATTATAATTTTTAACTTACGTCAATTCATACAATACATTCAATATTCAGAAAACCTACTCAAACTGACCATATGATACCAACATCCTCAAATCACCCTTTTCAACACAAGATGGCAGCTATTCAATGTTATGTCCACAGACTTCTTAATATCCCTATGTC